TGGCATGCGGCTTCGCTCGGCAGGGCTAGCAGAGGACTCAAAGCACCGCGCCTCTCCCCGGCACCCGATCCGTAGCCTTTAAAAAGGCTCCTTCACGAGTCGGGAGGGCGCTAGCGGTGCCAGCCGAGTCTCCATGTCCACGGCCTCCGTGGCCGTGGGTTTTAAGGGTCCCCGCGTCGCCGGCGCGGTAAGACCCAGCCCCTGCCGAGCAGGCTCCCTCCGGAGCTCGGAGGGAGTCCGCCATTCGGCGATGGCGCCAACCCGTTCTGTTTTACATCCGCTCAAAAATTGCCTCGAGCAGAATCCTACCAGATTGGAAGGAAGACAAGACTCAATTTATATGTCCCGTAGTCATTTAAATAGGAAGCGTGACATGCACCCCACCCTTGACATCACAATACAAACGCCGCTGAAATGCAGCAGTGAAAACAGCATCCTTCTTGTGGCTTTGACTGCTATGACTTTGACTCTTTGCTTCTCCTCCTGCCACCTCGAATGGGAAACGCTATCCAGTGAGATGGTTCATTCAAAGGCCGGGCTGGTACGCTAGGAATGAATGCAACCTGGAGATCTCAGCAGCCGCCAACCAGCTCCGAAATGTCCCGAAAGAGAGGTGAAGCGAGCATGCTGGGAAGAAAGGGAAGTGATGCAGCAGCTGTTTGGTTTTACCTTTGGTAGCACAGAGAGTGGCAGCCATTCATTCATAGTCAAGCAAAGTTCTGTTCCAAAAGCAGCTTCAAAAACTCTGGGAGTGAAGGATGGGGGGGTGCTTTTGTGAAAGGTGGAGGGACCGGCTTTTATTTCTTCTGTTCCATTCAGGACAGAGGTTAGTCAAGTTTCATATTATTTCCATTTTTAAAGAGCCTCTTTCATTTTTGTGTGTGCGCGCATTGGCTATTCTGCGGACGACAATTCGCGTTCATTAGTGCCCCCATACTGAGATGGCTGAGCATCTATCAAAAGACAGAAGAGAGACCCACCGATGCTCCTGGCTGTGAAATCCAAACATAATGAAATCTAGTAATGTGCCTTGAACTGGGTGAAGAAAAGAATAAACTCAGATGAAAATCCATCTTCCCAAAAAACTTAAAAACCATATTAATGTTAGAAGTGTCAATACACAGGTGCTCCTTTCCCCAAATATACCACACACAGGCATCGGTTCCATTGAGGCACATAGCAGGTGTTCAGACTAAAAAAGTCACTGGAAATTATTCTTGATCTGTTTGAAAAAGTTATGCCTAAACTGGGTGGGGGGACTTCAAATGTATATTCCACAGTCTTCAGTACATACAGTACATACATATAAATTGCTGGTTTTGTACTGTTACTGTAAGGTACATATTGTGCATATTGTATTTTTGGTTTTATTTTGATTTCATAGCAAGGGGAAGCTGAATAACAAATGTAGGCCCCGCCACACAATCTCTTTCCCTTTCACGAGCTATTTTGGATGTGATGGTTAGCAGGATCAGTACTGCAGCACTCCAGCTGGGCCATATTGATAATAGTTGTTTCTGTGAAAACACATCAATGGGACTCTTGCCCTAGGCTAGAAAGCCTACTCACATTAGTCTTAGGAGCAGGCGTAGACTGGATGAAGGATGATCTTGTATAGAAATGCTTTGCGGGGGACCCCACAAACCACTTCACCACTGCCCCAAGCTCCCATAGTTGCTTCCTCCCTTCCCACTTTCCAGAAGACAATATAGGAGGGGAATAAGCACAGGAGAAGAAAATGCCCCTTTTCCCTTTCTGATATATGAAAGAAAAGGGGGGAGATATTATTTTCCCCCTCACCTTGATCACCACCTTAGGAAGATAGCAAGAAAGGGAAGATTCTTTTCTTTCCCATAGCAGAAAGGGAAAGGGAACAATTATTTCCTCTTCACTCTCCATCACCACAAAAGATTCTAGGAAGAAGCTGGAGAAAGAACAAAAAACTTTTCCCCCGATGCCTGAAATAAAAAAGGACACCCGTTCTCATTTCTTCTGCCCCACAACTGCCTGACACGGAAGTAACGGGTGGCGGGGAAAAGAATGAGTCTCTTTTTCTTCCATGTATCAAAGAAGGGGCGGACTTGTACTTACCCCTCCCCACACTTAATAATTGGGAATGTGGGGGAAAGGCATGGGAATGCTTGCTACCACAGAAAGTGGCAAAGAAATCAGGATTACAGCAGTGCCACCCTACAAAAAAGCAGCAAAGGAAAGGTAGCATCAATGGCTGGAATTGCCATCTTTGGTATTCAGTTGGTTCGTTCATACAATGCAGTGAGCTAAACCATGGCTAAGCAAGACTGCATGAATGTGCAGCCTCCTAGAATGGAGATCACAGCCAATCCGTTTCTCCCTGGTACAATTTACTGCCATGTCATGCTGAGCTAAGCCAAAACTCTAAACTGGAACTCTCTCGAGTTTGCTGTACTTTGTTTTGCTAACCAGGCCAATGTTTACCCAGACAAAGAAGTTATTTACTCAGGTATTTTCTTCTCTCTCTTTACCTTCAGTATTCTGTGGCTCCTGCAAGTTCACTGTGTGGTTTGGATATTTTGTTTTATTGCTTTTACTTTTAATTTACAAACTTACATACACCTGCAAATCTAGGAACTCACCTGAGCATGTAGAACATTAGTGTTGGATTGTCCTGCTGTGCTTCCAAATTTGCCATAAGAGGGAAAGAGGGAATAATGGATAAAACACAGCACTTTCCTTCACGAGTACAAAAATAAACACATTTGTAGGCATACCTGTAGATTCTTTATAACCCCCCCTCCCCACGATTGTGGGTTTTTATTATTAAATCCTGAACTAGAATTTCAGCCTAATAAAATGGTGTAATGCACAGCTCATTAACAGTTCTGTTGGAGAATTTGCATCCCATTTCTAAAAGACGGAAGAAAAAAAATATCATTTAAAACCAAGGATGTGCCTGTTAACTCCTATTAAGCTGCTGTCTAAAGCAGAAGAGCTGCTTTAGCCCAGAGGGCATTTGGTACCATATTGGCCTGAATATAAGCCTCACTTTTTTTCCAAATTCCGATTGTGAAAAGTTAAAGTGCGGCTTAGATTTGCAACCTTACAAAACTTGGCTTTTATGATATCACTGCTGAAACAGACATACGGTAAAACGGAACGGGTGTGAGTGCCTGCGGAATTTTAAAGGAGCAGCTTATATTTGGGTATTGTCTTTTTTCTTTTTTTGCCCCTTGAATTTTAAAGGTGTGGCTTATATTCAGGTGCAGTTTATATTTGGGCTAATACGGTAGATCTAGAATGCAAAGGTGAAAACTAAGAAATTGACTAGGATGTCTCAGAATCTCTGACTTACAGAGCAAGCAAGCATTTTTCCATTATTTTCCCAAACACCCTTACATAAAATAGAAGACTGGGGCTAGAAGAGAAGTTAGGCACTACAACTCAAAAAGTATTTCTCCACACTTTTAAAAAATGCTAAATTATGACCCCTTTCTGCCATCTAGTGGTTTTGTTAGGTCATTATAGAGTGCCTCAATGTTCTGTTTTGCTGGTTGATTTCCAGGTTTGAAAGCATTTGAGGGAATGTAACACATATTCCCACCCATCTCTTTTCAATTCAGAAGCATGGCATTATAAATGCTGAAGATTTGCAAGCACCAATTTCCCATTATGTCTGTAAGTAAGCAGGCACTCTCTAGGCCCATCTTGTTTTGGTTACAGGATAACTAGAAATATATATCACTACCATTCCTAGCAGGGTTAAGGGCACAATTTTCTTGAAACCTATCCAAGGCTTTTGTGATTCCCACATTAAAAGCAAGCAGGTTTAGAATTTTCTGTACATTTCAAAAACTGTTTTTTGTTCAAGGATCTCATTTCCCAAAGAGGTAAGAAGTTCCAGGCAGGATTTCTGGCAAACTCCCTTGTGAAGAAATAGTACTAGAGGCTATTGTGACTATCTCTTTCAAGGACAAATCAGAACCTGAGGAGCTGTTGGTGGGGGGTAGCATTTGTTGTTCAGAATCATGTTTCTATCCATTACTGCAATCATTACTCATTTTATCCGCAGCAAATGTAGGGTTTATGGAGCAGAACCTGTAAGAAAAATTACATTGTCTGAACCCCTTTTTACTGTGCGCAAGTCTATCTATAGCTGTTAGACTTGTGGCTATATAAAGCACCCACGTTTAGAGACAGTGCAATTGCTGCTGAACAACAATTCCTGGGGAGTAGCAGTGGGGAGAAGCTTTTGCTTTCATGTCCTGTTTGTACATTTAAAACAGGACTAAAGCCCTAACAATTGGACATTCATGGTAGAGAGACATTTGTGGACAAGGGTTGCGGCACTCATCTTGTTTTCAGGCCAAGGGAGCCGGCGTTTGTCCAGAGACAGCTTTCTGGGTCATGTGGCCAGCATGACTATACCACTTCTAATGGAATGGGAACACCATGACAGAAACCAGAGTGCACAGAAACCCCGTTTACCTTTCTTTCACAGCGGTACCTATTTATCTCCTTGCACTGGTGTGCTTTCACAATTCTAGGTTGGCAGGAGCTGGGGCAGAGCAATGGGAGCTCACTTCGTTGCACAATTCGAACCGCTGATCTTCCGATCGGCAAGCCCAAGAGGTTCAGTGGTTTAGACCACAGCACCACCCACATACCAAGTCACAAAGTCACAGCTGGAATGGTGTTCTCACTAGGAATAAAGAATAAAAACACTTCCTGCAGTAAGGCACAGGCTAAACTCTCAGGAGCTGAAGACTACACATAGCAAAGGGCTGTAGGAAATCCCCTCTTTCCACAAGGCCATCTCATTATTTCAGCATCAAGCCACTAAATTCAGTATGATTCAGAAGAGGGCCTTATCTTTCTTAAATTGTCTGTATTGTTCTCCACTAGAGGGCAAACTTGATCAGCATTTAAAAACAAGACCCTGAAGCCAGACAAATACTAATAACAGACTTCGCCTCTAATTGTAATGAACATTTTATAACAGAAAAAAAATCACACACACAAAATAACGTTTGCAGAAATATTTTTTGTTCAGATTTCAAGTCTACGTTTTCCTCCTAAGTAAGTTAGGATCAAATTATCTTACATTTGACTAACACCAGGTATTTTGGCAGGGTAAATTATTGTTCAGGAAATACCCCCTCACCCCAGTTATAGAGGAAATGCATGCCTTCTGATGCATTGGCAACAATTCCTACAGTGGCCCCCTCGGCCAATCTGAGAACTTGAGCTGGCTGATATGGGGAAAGATATCTAAGTCCCAAGTTGCGCAGGTCTTTATAACTTTACATGTTTACTATGCGCTGGAACATGTACCCCAAACACGCTCCTTTAAGTGGCAGATGTAAATGCACACGAAGGCAGAAATTCAGTCCTATATATCAAGGCTCAGCGTAACAATCCTTTGTGGAACGAGTGACCGAAGGTTCGTCGTCAAAGTCGTCAAAGTAGTCTTCAGCTAAACGAAGCATCTGCCTCACTGCCATGAGTATCAGGATATCAACATCATTCCTCAGTTCCAGTTCCGAGGAATAATTTTTAACAGGAACTATATGAGACAGAGGGATGCCAAGTTTTGCTTCCATTAGCCGCATCTGTAAAGGAAATAAAATGTGATTTGTTACCAAGGGAACACTATTTTTATGCCCCTTTGGTTCCACCAGCTGACACAAGGCCACTGCTGGCCATATTAATTAATTACATTTTTATGCCCCATATCTGTACACTGACCCCAAACAAAAAAAATTTCAGGGCCACTTAGAAGAAAGAAGGTCCAGTCGATTTCCAGGTCCAACTGAAAAGTGTTGGTTTAATGCCCTATAACCTTTAATGCCCTAGACCAGGGTGAGCCTCTCTTTGACCCTAGGATTTTCCTCAGGCCACACACTCTCCAAATAACAAACCTCAACAGCCCTGCTTTGCACATCTAGAGTGCAAAGATGTTATGACAGTTTTTCATAATACAATGCAATAAAAAACAAACTAATCTAAACAGAAAGAGAAAGAAAAATGCAGTGTCATCCCTCAAAGGTAGCTCTTAAACCTTGTCTCACACAGAAAGGGATGGACCTTCCCAGCCTCTCAGCCTGGGACCTCTTCCCTTCCCTGCCTCTCACACAGGGAAGGAATCTACACACATATTTAAAAACGCTGTGAAAATGCTTTTTTAAAAAATGTTTTGAAAAATACAGCTCACTGTCGCCAGCTAGTGTCACATTGGTATATTGCACTTCACAACCCTTTTAAAATGTTTTATTTGCATCTCTGTAGCTGAGTCCAGGGACATTTATCAGCCAGCCATCACCTTCAAGTGTATATTCTCAGTAGCCCAGAGTAGAGGATATAAAAAACCCAAGAAGTAAGAGCAGAAGCAAAACAAAACAAGGAAAGAAAAAGTAACAGAAAGATTAAAATATTAAAGAAAAGCCTGACTAGCTTTAAAGATAGCTTTTAATTTAACAGTTTACCTGCTTCTGAACAGCCATGCTTTTGTATACGTATGATATATCTTCCTCAACAATAGGACAAATCTGATCCACTTTAGTCAGAATAACAAGCTGTGGAACACCTGTAAGATTAGGTTATAAAAAAGGAGTACAATATATGTTTGTTTTTTTCATTTTGAATTGGGAATAGCCACCACAATTATTATTGTTTTTTTAGCAATGAGCGAAGAACTATTTGAAGCCATTTTTTATAATATGAAATAAGACAGCAACTACATTGTTCTTTTGGGGAAGACATTTACAGGTAGGGTGTCTTGTGCTTAAAGAGAAAATTGGTGGAGCTCATATTTCCTGTGAATAATTCCTCTACATATTTGAAAGCTAATAGTTAAATCTCTAGGAATCAGTCCTTGTCTGGTAAAGCAAGTACAGTCATACCTCAGGTTACAGACGCTTCAGGTTGCGTTTTTACGGGTTACAGACACACCGAAACCCGGAAGTACTGGAACGGGTTATTTCTGCGTTTCGGTGGTCACACATGCACAGAACCGTGAAATCGCGCTTTGTGCATGCGCAGAAGCACCGAATCGCAACCTGCGCATGCACAGACGCGGCACTGCGGGTTGCAAACATGCCTCCCTCATGGATCAATTTCGCAACCAGACCGTCCACTGTACAATGATCTAAGCCCTGGCTTATGAAGTCTCCTTCCAAGGGCCAATGGGTCACTGACAGACATCAAATAGGGAGAAGCGACAATCTGAAAATTCATGCAGTCAGGTATGCACAACTGCCTCCAACATATTCAGATAGTGGGACAATATGGTCTGCTTCTCATTGCTCCATAAAAAAGCTCTAATCATTTATCTTTGAGAAGGTGTGAGCTTTGAAGAGAAGTGTTAAATACTTCTCAGGAAACCAAGATAAGAAGTTCATCAACTCACAATCAATGGTCAGTGTTTCCTACATAGCTGAGGGACCATTTCAGCAATCAGCCTGCACAGGCAATGAAACATTGGTATTGAGGTTGATCAAAACATAAATGTAAAATAAATGTAAAAGACTGACCAAAACTGTTCGCTTTTCGACGGATGTCTTTCAGTTTTTCTTCCAGCTTCTCAGGAAGGATCTCAACCTTGGACCCATCAATAATGAATGCAACACAATGAATCCGGTCTTTTGGAGAGGGGGACTTGATATAGTTTGGCATATTGGGGCTCATAACACAGGATGGATTGAACTGAAAAGGAAAAGGGTAATAGAAGAAAAAATATAGGATAGCTGCAATGGAATCAGATTCCTATAGTGTTGTGTGAGAGACATAGGGATGGATGAACCTACATACAAAAAGATGACAGTCCCCATGTAGTGCTCATGGAGCAGCCATCTTTGATATGTAAAGTGACCATTTGTGCATACCAAAAATGACATGTAGTCAGTTGCTGCCCCATTTTGAAAAGCATTTTTACCCAGTGTGGTGAGGGTGTAGTACCTGAATTAGTACTCTGGTATTCTCAGTCTGGTACTGAGAATACCATTACAACAATCAATTTCCCAAAACTCAACTTGTTTAGGCTGCTCAGCACGTAAGCTTATCTGTGAGATATTTCCCAAATGGTTTCAATATTTTTTTTACTCAGAAGAAGATGAGTTTTGATGGCATGGGCTGAAACTACCATGGCTTCATGGTGAGCCAAATCACATGATCAGCTTTCCCCAAGGACCAGTCTTCTAGCAACTGTGTTTCCAAGCCATGTCATGGATTTGTGGATGTAAATCAGTCCTTAGCCTGGCAAACCACTTGGGAAAATAAAACTGCGCTTGCTGTGGTGATAATGGCAGACCACAGGAACTGTGATGTTTGCATTATAGAAGTAAATTAGAAATGAAAAGCAGAGGTTCCTAAATGATAATCTCTCCATCTAAAATGAACAATAGAGGATGCATCTTACCGAGTACCGATCAGGAATATGGCCCTCCAATATGCTGCGCACATCCTCAATGTCCAGACCAGTGTTGGGTTGAGCTTCAAGTCCCATGGTATCACAGAAAATGATTGGGAGTGGGGCTCTATCGCTTCCGCTTTTAAGTTGATAAGTCCTATACTGTTTTTTAAAAAATAAAAATAACACCATATTGAAATCTATTCCTATCTGCTTTCCTTTCTATTTTACATATGTAAATGACAAATTGCACCTACTAGTATATATACTAATCTACTGTAATTTTTGTGGCTCTGTATAAAACTGCAAACTCCATTACACAAAAACAGGTTATGAAAGGCAAGTTAAGTATAGGTTTCCGGTCACGTCACAAGTCAATGGTGGTAGCTCCTCGCTGCCCTCCATGGGCAGCGAGGAGGTTCAGGCAGAGGAAAGCCAGGATTTATGTGGCAAAAATACTAGCAATGTTCCCAGTGGAATCTGGTGAGCTCACTGCATCCTGCTGTGCCAAGCAAGCCCATATCTGGATGTGTGTCCCTGCCATGGACGAGCCTCCGTCTCCGGCGTTATTTGGTTCCTCTATAATTTGGATAATTGGCATTAATCAAGAGGCGCTTGTGTGCCGACATATGCTTATGGGCTACAATCAGTCAGCTTCCAAAAGGACTGGGCTTGGCTCTTTGAAGGTATCTGAATGTTTCCTTTGCAGCTTGAAAACCCTTACAACAGCCGGGAAAGGAAGGGGGAAGACAAGGTGTTTTGTGCTTTCTATGGTTTTCAAATGGTCTCCTGCCAAGGGCTGATGGGAGTTGTAGTCTAGTAACCCTAGTTGAAGTATATATTGAATCTCATGTATCATTTTGTTGCCATTAGTTATTGGCCAACATGTTTGAAAATACAGTGGTACCTCGGGTTACGAACTTAATACGTTCTGGAGTCCCATTCTCAAAACGAAACCGTTCTTAACCTGAGGTGTGCTTTCGCTAATGGGGCTTCCCGCTGCTTCCGAGCAATTTCCGTTCTCATCCGGAGGTAAAGTTTGTAACCTGAGGTACTACTTCCGGGTTAGTGGACTTTGTAACTCAAAGTGTTTGTAATCCAAGGTGTTTGTAACCTGAGGTACCACTGTATCCTTTTTGGAGCTCTTCACTGCCAGCTTAGGATATCACCTCTGAATAATGTATCACCTACAAATTTTACCGTCACAGCAGTTACCTCTAATGACACATGGTTTGTTTCAAAATGCAGCCACAATTGCAAAAATGCAGTTATTTCCACTCAATAAGCCTTATCTACAGGGCTGCAGATTTAAAAGGCTTGTGAGGCATGAATTCTCTTTTCAAAATGGACATTCGTTATAGCTAGGATAAACAATATATTTTGAAACAATACATGCATTTGAAATATTGCTTGAAAAATACTGAATGCATTTTATCTTTTGCTTTATCAGTGCAGAGCTACCTGCTTTGTCAGACTTGTGGAATCCGATCCTGCTGCAGCTTGACTTGACACGTAGCCTCGGAAAGTTGAATTCAAAGAGTTGAAGAAACTAGACTTCCCTGCTCCAACTGGCCCAACAAGCAGAACCCGACACTGGGGCACAGCATCCAAGCAAGGTTTGTAAGTTCTTATTTCTTTCATCAGCGCTTCCCTTTTCCTGCCAAGGTAGCAAAATACATCCGTCTATTAACCATAGATTACCATAGATAACCATAGATAGAATCCGTGTGCTGCGCTGGCTCGCCAGATGCAGCTTTGTCACGCTGGCCACGTGACCCGGAAGTGTCTCCGGACAGCGCTGGCCCTCGGCCTATAGAGTGAGATGAGCGCACAACCCTAGAGTCTGTCAAGACTGGCCCGTACGGGCAGGGGTACCTTTACCTTTACCTATTAACCATATTAGCATAATCATATATACATATATCCCGGATTATACAGTGTTGAAGTTGATAAGCAAAGCAACACTCTATTATGTTGAAGCCTGTGGGTTTAATGATGAATCAAATGAAGATGTGTACAAACCTTCTGAAATTTAGCACAGAGTACCTACATGTTTAGTGACCTAAACTGGCCACATTTCAGACACAGCTGTTGAGAAATAGCTTAAATACCACCTCCAAAAGAATTTCTCTTTGGAGACTCATTTCTGCTGTTTACCACCATTTTTAGCCTACTGCCCCATACAATATCTTCCTTCCCTGCCTGATTCTCCTAAAATAAGAAAATGCAGACATCTTTCTACATCCCTTCATGAAGTGATCAGCTTTTAAACTAATCTCCACTGTGGGCCTCACTGGGCCTGGCAGCCTTCTCCATTTGACCTGCCAGGCCGTTAGGTCCAAGTTACACCCACCTGCCCTTCATCTGACATTATCTGAGGCCAAGGTCACGACAGGTAAAGCTGTAGCCTCAAGTAGCATAGTGCATTCTTCTGTTAATTCCCCAGTGCTCCCTGATAGCCCACAGATGAATTAAGGTTAGCACGGTAGACTCCAATGCACCGCCAATTCATTTCATATTGGGTCGCGGTTTTGCAATATCAATAAATTCTATTTTGATGTTAAAATGGAGTCACTTTGAAATCAATCATTAATTTTATTTCTAGCAGAGACTTTTGAAAGGGGCCTGTTGGACCCCAGCAGCATAGTGATACCGTTAAAATAAACGATGTGCAGGGGTTAAGGATGATGTTCAATGTGCAAGGGTTAAGGATGCTGTTCAATGAATGGAACAGGATTTCCTTCTACACTGACTATAAGGCTGCCCTATAACTCTTCTTTTGGACTGAAGAGGGGGTGTTCCAAAACCACAACCGGAGGTCATCCTGAGATGGTAAGGTCAAGGACCCCTGGATGGATAATTCCAGCTGAATTCGACTATGGGGAGCAGCACTCATCTCTGCTTTCAGGCCAAGGGAGCCACCATCTGTCCACAGACAGGTTTTTTCCAGGTCAAGTGGCATGTTTCTGGTGCACAGGACACCATGATGAGTGCCAGAGTGCCCAGAAACGCCATTTACCTTCCCACTGCAACAGTATCTATTTATCTGCTCGTGCTGTTTTGCTTTCAAACTGCTAGGTTGGCAGGAGCTAGGACAAAGCAACAGGAGATCACCCCATCGCACGGATTCGAACTGCTTACCTTACGATCAGCAAGATCATGAGGCTTAGTGTAACGGTGTGCCTGAGATGATGGCTAGCCAAGGGAAGGAAATATAAGAAAGTGACACCTGTTAGCAGCAGGGGTTGGGAAACTCAGGCACAGAGGCCAAATGTGGTTCTCCATCTTACCTCTCAGAACTCTCCACAAGCCACACCCCTCACTTGGCCATCACTGGTTAAGTGCTTTAGCCCAGCTGTAATGTGCTCTTGAACTGCGGTAACTTTGAAACCACTTGAAAATTATATGGATTAAATTGTATATAAATGCCTTAAATAAATAAATAAATGAAACAATGCCACTGGCTTGCCTAAATGGTGTGTGGGGTGGGGGGAAATGGGGTGGGAGTGTTTCTCAAGTCAGTAACCTACTTAGCTGTCCATGTCATCTCCCGCCATGGTTTTTCCAAAACACTACTCAGCCCTAAGGAGAAAATAAAATTTGACATCAGCAAGAGGGCAAATCAACAGGTTTCAAAAAATGAAATAACTTTTAAATGATTGTTTCAGCTCACCTTCGACTCGATATACTTCACATTCCAAAAGGACTTGGTCATTTCCATGTAGGTCTTCTGCACTGAGTGTGTAACTGTTAGTGTTAGCATTTGTGGTAACACTATTCTTGCTTTCTGACAGGAAGACAAGTGTGTTAGCTCCAAAAGTAGGACCATATGCACTATTGTCAAGGACAGCCTCAACAGCATTCTTGACTGGGAATTTTAGTATGCTGGGTTCCTGCCCTTTCCCTTTCAATCTAAACAGGAAAGCATTGTTATCAAATAGGTATTTCCCAGCTGAAGCATAACTCTGTTCAGTAAAGCCTCCAAAGATATAGCCACTTGCATTGTATCCCACAACTACAGTTGGGCCCTGATTGTTGCATTTGTAATGAAATGCATTGACATTGTAGGTATGCAAACTTGCTTTATAGAGAAGGCTTAGATGTTGGCATCCCAAAATATCCAGCAGCGCCTTTCTCTCAGTTTTGGTCAATCGAGATTGGGCCATCTTTAATCTGAAAGAAATGAGATATAGTAGGAATATAAATATTTCTGAAATTAGGAACAGCCAAACCTAGGTAGCAGAAGGTTCCAAGTTCAATTTATAGCATCTCAAGACAGGTTTAGGTGATATCCCTGTCTGAAATTCAGAAACCCACTTCCAGCCAATGTAGACCAGGACTGTGACGATTTGCTACAAGGTAGGCGAAAAACCAAGTGGCTGGTGCCAATTTGCCAGTTGGATAAAAATTCCTACCAGGCCCCTTGGGCAACCAAGGTGACCAACCACAGGTCCATAGCAAGGTCAAGCACGAAGCGATAAACTAAAGGGAAGGGTGTGTGCGTGATCCGTTGAAACACGGCAGCGCAATGAGGGGCAGGAGCTGCCGCGGCTGCATTTGAGCGGCTAAACTCCGCCCCTAAGACTCCCCTTGATTGGTAGGATGCCTGGGAGCGCAGTGTGGCAGCAGTGATGGCAAGCTGGGGCCGGAATGCCCAATGCAAAGCGCAGGAACAGCTCCCGATCACAACTCCTCCCCTCCGGGAGGAAGAGGAGAGGCTCTTTCAAACACATATGCCACATTTCTCTTTCAAACCTCCACAGGGTAAATGTTAAGAAGACTTCAGTCCTACAGCCCCACCCAAGACATGCTAGAAGCTGGAGAACAAGCTTTGACAATAAGAGCCTCATTTGATTCAACCTCCACAGATTTGTGCTGCTGGTCTGTGAACTGCAGCTGCAATACTTACTTAGGGGGCTAGGCCCCAGTGAACATGCCTGAGTAAGCATGCGGAGGAGGCTTGTTCTGTGCGTGCCTTCAGCTTGCTGTATTAAATAAGCATCAGGTTTCATGGTGATCTGCAAATATAAAGCAGCTTTCCCCATCTAACGGTTGAAAAACAGGAAGCACCACTAGATGGTGAAGAATAATATTTTTCTTTTCACATGGACAATACCAGCGGAGGCTTTCTGACTCCACCCAAGAGATTAACACGCGCTTGTAGATAAAGTTAGAAAATTTCGGTGCCCTCCCAAAAGCTTCCCTTTCACTAAAGGATCCGATTCATAAAATCTCTCACAAGAATACATGCAAAGCAATTGTTAAACTGAGCTGCTGAATCACCAAAAACCGTATGGAGCAGCCAAGCAACCGTTAAAAAATCCCCATTCTATTTTAATAGCTGCATGTGGCAGGAAAATATCATCATGACATGATCTTACCAGCTTAGGGGAATTTTTTTTCCTGTTTCCAGAGCTCTGTTTTACTTCAGATTGGAAGCCCGGGAGCGTCTGCAAACAAGCCTCTTCCCTCTGAGAAGCAGCTCGTGTCTGCAAGGGAGAAACGAAAGTGAAAGTGCAGAGGTGCTCAGGAAGCAGAAACACGTGTTCTCAGGTTTCCTGAAGTCCGTGACTATGTAGCGGGAAATGCTCTTAGGGAGGAAGGTAGAACTAAAATAGAAATTTCTTGCAAGATACCTGACAGTAAGACAGAATCCTACATAAAGCTGAAATGACTGTGAGCATATAGGGAGGGGTGCAGGGGGTCTCAGCTTGTGCAAGAGCAAATGGCTCACATCCCTGAGTCCAGGCTGCAGAGATCCTGCAAATGGGTGGGGATGAATGGCTGCTCTTGGCTGATAGAGGGCCTGGCTAATGCAGGGAAGAGTCTGCTTCCCCTTAGCTTGTGCAAGAGAGCATGTCCTGCCTAAAAAAGGGCACGTGTTGTGGTGAGACCTGGAGACTGGCCCTCTGGTTGTGGGTGGGTATATTGGTCAGCCATAACACCCGACTGGTAGGTCCCTCGTTGATGGGTTTAATCTGGCTAATGGGGTGCTGTCTAAATGGATTGAGGGACCTATAAATACCTATACACGTGACCCAGAGCTTCCTCTTTCAGCTCATGCATCGCAACACCCGCCCACCACTCCCTATATTTAGGGCATTTTGCGATTGACCTTGCTATGCCATCATGTGTTGTCTGTCGTTGGGACAGAGGTATGGCAGGAATTTTGACTGATTGGCTGTCGCTACTTGGGTTTCGCCTGCCACGTAGCAAATCATCACAACTTGTAACGTTGCAGATAGGCACTGGTTCAGGTGATAGGGATGGGGGAACAGTCTTGCCATCCCTATGTGAAGGGTATTGTGTTAAAGGAATCCAGCGACTCAACTTGGTTTGGTCAACCTCCGAGAGGGGGTTGTGCCCATGCCTATGTCCAGGGGAGCATCTGGGGAATGGACATAGTCCGTTCCCGGGCTTTCCGCCTACCTCAGGTGTTCACCCTTGGCTGACTGATGATAGAGCTCTGGCTCAGCAAGGGTTCAGGGACTTATTCGAACCAGAGCCTATGCAACCACTCACTTCCTGTAATCAATAATGCTGTGGCCTAAATTCTGCCAAAAACCCAAACTAAAATTTGAGTCAAATATGTTTTTATTTAGGGGGGGCTGAGGTCTCTGGGTCTGAACATGCAGCAAATGGATGTATACCATATATCCTCAAACCTTCCTTACTGCTGAACATGGCCTAGAGGTTGCAATGCTTGTAGTACCAGTACCAGAACTGAGGTTGGTGTGTGTGAATGTGGGTGGGAAGAGTGACGTTTGTCTCTGAACCCTAATAATGTCTCTTTCTTGCCTGCATTTAGGATGAGGGTGGAACGTAGAAACTAGTCTTCTGTGCAATAGTAACAAGCTCCCTGCAGGTGTTTGATTTCTGGCCTGACTGCATCCAGGCCAGTCTTGCATTAGTGTTCCTTTTGGGAATGAAGGAGTCATTCATCCCAATGAGCAAATAGATGTGTACCATATATCCTCAAATTTACTTACAACAGGCCAGAGTGACTTACTTCTCTTCGTTACCAGGGCTTTTTTTTTTTTTAACCAGAACTCAGTTCTGGCACCTCTCAGGTGGGCTCCATTGCCATTTTAAGAGAACAAGGGAGTTGCTCATGGTGAGTTCCAGCACCTCTTTTTCTATAAAAATAGCACTGCTCATTAATGAAATCAAAAAGTAAAAAAGTAAAAGGTAAAGGACCCCTGGATGGTTAGGTCTATGGGGGTGCAACTATGGAGGTGTGGCGCTCATCTTGCTTTCAGAGACAGAGCACACGGAAACCTCATTTACCTTTCTTTTGCAGTGGTACCTATTTATCTACTTGCACTGGTGTGCTTTCAAAATGCTAGGTTGGCTGGAGCTGGGGCAGAGCAATGGGAGCTCACTTCGTTGCGCAGATTCAAACCGCCAATATTCTGATCGGTAAGCCCAAGAGGTTCAGTGGTTTAGACCACAGCGCCACCCACATCCCGAGTCACAAAGTCACAGCTGGAATCGTGTTCTCATTAGGATTAAAGAATAAAAACACTTCCTGCAGTAAGGCACAGGGCACAGGCTAAACTCTTAGGAGCAGAAGACTACACATAGCAAAGGGCTGTAAGAAATCCCCTCTTTTCCACAAGGCCATCTCATTATTTCAGCATCAAGCCACTAAATTCAATATGATTCAGAAGAGTGCCTTATCTTTCTTAAATTGTCTGTATTGTTCTCCACTAGAGGGCAAACCTGGTCAACATTTAAAAACAAAACCCTGAAGCCAGACAAATACTAATAACAGACTTGACGTCTACTTGAAATGAACATTTTATAACAGAAGAAATCACACATATAAAAATAATGTTTTCAGAAATATTTTTGATCAGATTTCAGGTCTGTTTTCCTCCTAAGGTATGATCAAATTACAGTGGTACCTTGGTTCTCAAACCACTTGGCTCCCAAACAAATTGGCTCCCGGAAGCCGCAGACCTGGAAGTGTTCTGGTTTGCAAATGTTTTTCAGAAGCTGAATGTCTGACAGTTTCTGCTTGAGTGCAGGAAGCTCCTGCCGCCAATCCAAAGCCATGCCTTGGTTTTTCTGCAGTTTTGGGAGTCGAACAAACTCCCAGAACGCATCAAGTTTGAGAACCAAGGTACCACTGTATGTTACATTTGACTAACACCAGGTATTTCAGAACACCAGGTATTTCAGCAGGGTAAATTACTGTTCAGGAAATACCGCCTCACCCATTATAGAGGAAATGCATTCCTTCTGATACATTGGCAACAATTCCTACTGTGGCCCCCTGGGGCAATCTGAGAACTTGAGCTGGCTGATATGGGGAAATATATCTAGGTCACAAGCTGCGCAGATCTTTATAACTTCACAAGTTTGTTCTCAGTGTGACTTGGTTTTGCTACTGTGAACATGCCAACAGATGCTAATGGTAAACATCCCAAAAGATGAAATACCATTTCCTCGTTGAACAGCTTAAAAAGATAGAGGCGCTCCCAACAAGCAACCATGATAGAAAACACTACAAACGCTATTAGGGGGAAAAAGCATTAGATAATTGCTTTGATCATGGGTTATGCCAGCCAGATTCCTGTGCCCAGCCAAGACTACGGTGGCATCTCTGGAACATGTACCCCAAACGAGTTCCTTTAAGTAGCAGATGTAAATGCACTGTTGATATTTTCACCCTCTCCAATTGCAAGAATCTCCTGATCTGATGTTTTGAGAAAGGAGGGGGAGGAAACTGCTCTTCTACTCTTCCGCTCCTGACTGCCTGACTCTGTGTGTGGAGAGAGTCTTATCTATGTAGTGACTAGATGCCTGAGTGGGAGATGTAACACTCACGCAAGCCAGCTATTAGAAATAAAAGAAGTTATGCTTCACAGCTAGCTTCTGCGTTATTTATACTTTGCTGAGTCTGGGGCTCACAATGCAGAGTTGTGAGTCCAGTGCACTGAGACCTGCTTTCCAGGATTGGAAGGTCTGTGAAAGTGCTCCAGTCGCCTAGCTCAGTCGGGGCAGAACCAGTTATTGAGCCCAGTCGCCGACATCGGTTGAAAGGCGTACTGACATGCACATGAAGGCAGCAATTCAGTCCTAAACATCCCTACAGTTCTGAGACACAAAGGTTATTGAGCTTGAACTGCTGCATTGCTGAGATTATTAAAGGTAAAGGGACCCCTGACCATTAGGTCCAGTCGTGGCCGACTCTGGGGTTGCGGCGCTCATCTCGCTTTATTGGCCGAGGGAGCCGGCGTACAGCTTCCGGGTCATGTGGCCAGCATGACTAAGCCGCTTCTGGCGAACCAGAGCAGTGCACGGAAACACCGTTTACCTTCCCGCTGGAGCGGTACCTATTTATCTAATTGCACTTTGACGTGCTTTTGAACTGCTAGGCTGGCAGGAACAGGGACCGAACAATGGGAGCTCAACCTGTCGCGGGGATTCGAACTGCCAACCTTCTGATTGGCAAGTCCTAGGCTCTGTAGTTTAACCCACAGCGCCATCCACGTCCCGCTGAGATTATTAGCCAAGCAATTATTAGCATGCCCCCAATATGAGCAACAGTTTCAGAAAAATCTATCCACAGCAGCACTGTGCTCTTATGGGGATAGTTCTTTTTCTGAGATTTACAGCAACAGGTTAACTGTCTATCCTTTCTTTTCCTTCTTCCTTTCCCCCTTTTTCAAGATCCTCCAAGTTGAGTAAGGACTTCAGGGACCAGGGGTGGCATATCTTGCAGCTGGTAACTTCAGGATTCATTCATACACTGAGTTTCACATGCATTTATTTATATGTTTTAAGAAAGCAGTAACATTAAAAAGATACAAAACACCTGAAATATTTCTCATCAACATGGAAGTCCATTTTATACCTAGTTATTTATTGATCTGGCATATCACGTGAGAATCATCAACCCCTGTATATAAGCCCCCCCCTCCCTAGTATCACGTCTATAACTTGAGGTTGCACCACTTTCTCAACTTTTCCAAGGCCTCTGGTTAATGGCTTAGTTACCCTCTTGCACTTGCTCATAGCATAACTGGTTTTCCTGGCAGCTGGTATTTTTTATTTCTCTTTCCCTTCAGATCACATCTCTAGTGCACACACCAATCTGGTTTCTAGCCTGGAGTCGCAGTGTAATGGACCTCGTGCAAGCTACCTATATAGTATTATTGTCTTAATGATTGTCTTATAATAGAAACAGAATTTTAGGTTTGGAAAGGATGTTGGAGGCCAAAAGAACATAAAAGCCTTGCAGCTCTACAGTTAGCCTGTCCATTAGCCACATACATACAGCAGGAGCAGCAGCGAGATACTGAGATTAGTATGTAAGAATGTTTCAAAACTGGAATGGCATCTCCCTAAATGGAGAATAAACTTGGTCACTTTTATTAAAAAGCTAAAGCATAAACTAGAATTCTAATGGGCTTCAGTAAATATATCAAGGCTCAGCATAACAATCCTTAATGGAACGATTGACCGGAGGTTCGTCATCACAGTCGTCGAGGTAGTCTTCAGCTAAACGAAGCATCTGCCTCACTGCCATGAGTATCAGGATATCAACATCATTCCTCAGTTCCAGCTCCGAGGAATAATTTTTAACAGGAACTATATGAGACAGAGGGATGCCAAGTTTTGCTTCCATTAGCCGCATCTGTAAAGGAAATAAAATGTGATTTGTTACCAAGGGAACACTATTTTTATGCCCCTTTGGTTCCACCAGCTGACACAAGGCCACTGCTGGCCATATTAATTAATTACATTTTTATGCCCCGTATCTGTACACTGACACCAAACAAAAAAAAATTCAGGGCCACTTACAAGAAAGAAGGTCCAGTCCATTTCCAGGTCCAACTGAAAAGTGTTGGTTTAATGCCCTATGACCTTTAATGCCCTAGACCAGGGTGAGCCTCTCTTTGACCCTCAGGATTTTCCTCAGGCCACACACTCTCCAAATTACAAACCTCAAAGTGCAAAGATGTTATGACAGTTTTTCATAATACAATGCAATAAAAAACAAACTAATCTAAACAGAAAGATAAAGACAAATGCAGTGTCATCCCTCAAAGGTAGCTCTTAAACCTTGTCTCACACAGAAAGGGATGGATCTTCCCAGCCTCTCAGCCTGGGACCTCTTCCCTTTCCTGCCTCTCACACAGGGAAGGAATCTACACACATATTTAAAAACACTGTGAAAATGCTTTTAATTTAACAGTTTACCTGCTTCTGAACCGCCATGCTTTTGTATACGTATGATATATCTTCTTCAACAATAGGACAAATCTGATCCACTTTAGTTAGAATAACAAGCTGTGGAACACCTGTAAGGAGATTAACTTATAAAAAGGAGTATAATAAATGTTTGTTTTTTACTTTTGAATTGGGAATAGCCACCGCAATTATTATTGTGTTTTTTTTTTTAGCACTGAGCTAAGAACTATATGAAGCCATTTTTAAAAATATGAAATAAGATAGCAACTACATTGAGGTTGATCAAAACATAAATGTAAAATAAATTAAAAAGACTGACCAAAACTGTTCGCTTTTCGACGGATGTCTTTCAGTTTTTCTTCCAGCTTCTCAGGGAGGATCTCAACCTTGGACCCATCGATAATGAACGCAACACAATGAATCCGGTCTTTTGGAGAGGGGGACTTGATATAGTTTGGCATATTGGGGCTCATAACACAGGATGGATTGAACTGAAAAGGAAAAGGGTAATAGAAGAAAAAATATAGGATAGCTGCAATGGAATCAGATTCCTATAGGGTTGTGTGAGAGACATAGAGATGGATGAACCTACATACAAAAAGATGACAGCCCCCACGTAGTGCTCATGGAGCAGCCATCTTTGATATGTAAAGTGACCATTTGTGCATACCGAAAATGACATGTAGTCAGTTGCCGCCCCATTTTGAAAAGCATTTTTACCCAGTGTGGTGAGGGTGTAGTACCTGAATTAGTACTCTGGTGTTCTCAGTCTAGTACTGAGGAGACCATTACAACAAGCAATTTCCCAAATTCTCCTCTAAGGGCTTTTCCACATTTCCTCTTCTTCCACTGATTCCCCGTACCGCTCTCCCCCCTAGGGGAGGGAGACTGCTCTTTGGTGATCAAAAAGAGCAAGTGGCTATTTGAGTTTTCCCAAAGAGAGAGGTCTAACTTGCACATCCAATCAATTGCAGGTGGAAACTAAAAACCCAACCATGTTCAGGCTGCTCAGCATGATAAGCTGATCTGTGAGATATTTCCCAAATGGTTTCAATATTTTTTTTACTCAGAAGAAGATGAGTTTTGAGGGCATGGGCTGAAACTACCATGGCTTCATGGTGAGCCAAATCACATGATCAGCTTTCCCCAAGGACCAGTCTTCTAGCAACTGTGTTTCCAAGCCATGTCATGGATTTGTGGATGTAAATCAGTCCTTAGCCTGGCAAACCACTTGGAAAAATAAAACTGCGCTTGCTGGGGTTATAATGGCAGACCACAGGAACTGTGATGTTTGCATTATAGAAGTAAATTAGAAATGAAAAGCAGAGGTTCCTAAATGATAATCTCTCCATCTAAAATGAACAATAGAGGATGCATCTTACCGAGTACCGATCAGGAATATGGCCCTCCAATATGCTGCGCACATCCTCAATGTCCAGACCAGCATTGGGTTGAACTTCAAGTCCCATGGTATCACAGAAGATGATCGGGAGTGGGGTTCTACCGCTTCCGCTTTTAAGATGGTAAGTCCTATACTATTTTTTAAAAAATGCAAATAACACCATATTGAAATCTATTCCTATCTGCTTTCCTTTCTATTTTACATATGTAAATGACAAAATTCACCTACTAGTATATATGCTATCTACTGTATTTCACCTAATAGTATATATAATATCTACTGTAATTTTTGTGGCTCTGTATAAAACCACAAAAGTTCCATTACACAAGAAACAGGTTAGAAAGGCAAGTTAAGTATGGTCACATCACGAGTCAATGGTGGTAGCTCCTCGCTGCCCTCCATGGGCAGCGAGGAGGTTCAGGCAGAGGAAAGCCAGGATTTATGTGGCAAAAATACTAGCAATGTTCCCCAGTGGGATCTGGAGAGCTCACTGCATCCTGCTGTGCCAAGCAAGCCCGTATCTGGATGTGTGTCCGTGCCATGGACGAGCCTCCGTCTCCGGCATTATTTGGTTCCTCTATAATTTGGATAATTGGCATTGATCAAGAGGCGCTTCTGTGCCGACATATCAGCTGCAAAAGGACTGGGCTTGGCTCTTTGAAGGTATCTGAATGTTTCCTTTGCAGCTTGAAAACCCTTACAACAGCCGGGAAAGGAAGGGGGGAGACAAGGTGTTTTGTGCTTTCTATGGTTTTCAAATGGTCTCCTGGCAAGGGCTGATGGGAGTTGTAGTCTAGTAACCCTAGTTGAAGTACATATTGAATCTCATGTATCATTTTGTTGCCATTAGTTATTGGCCAACATGTTTGGAAATACAGGGGTACCTCGGTTTACGGACTTAATACGTTCTGGAGGCCCGTCCTTAACTTTTGCTTTATCAGTGCAGAGCTACCTGCTTTGTCAGACTTGTGGAATCTGATCCTGCTGCAGCCTGACTTGACACGTAGCCTCGGAAAGTTGAATTCACAGAGTTGAAGAAACTGGACTTCCCTGCTCCAACTGGCCCAACAAGCAGAACCCGACACTGGGGCACAGCACTCAAGCAAGGTTTGTAAGTTCTTATTTCTTTCATCAGCGCTTCCCTTTTCCTGCCAAGGTAGCAAAATACATCCGTCTATTAACCATATTAGCGTAATCATATATACATATATCCCGGATTATACAGTGTTAAAGTTGATAAGCAAAGCAACACTCTATTATGTTGAAGCCTGAGGGTTTAATTGTAAATCAAATGAAGATAATGTGTACAAACCTTCTGAAATTTAGCACAGAGTACCTACATTTTTAGTGACCTAAACTGGCCACATTTCAGACACAGCTGTTGAGAAATTGCTTAAATACCACCTCCAAAAGAATTTCTCTTTGGAGACTCATTTCTGCTGTTTACCACCATTTTTAGCCTACTGCCCCATACAATATCTTCCTTCCCTGCCTGATTCTCCTAAAATAAGAAAATGCAGACCTCTTTCTACATCCCTTCACGAAGTGATCAGCTTTTAAACTAATCTCCACTGGTGGGGAGCTGCAGCTTGTGGGCCTCACTGGGCCTGGCAGCCTTCTCCATTTGACCTGCCAGGCCATTATGTCCATGTTACACCAACCTTCCCATCATCTGACATTATCTGAGGCCAAGGTAAAGCTGTAGCCTCAAATAGCATGGTGCATGCTTCTGTTTATTCCCCAGTGCTCCCTGATAGCCCACAGATGACTTTAGTTTAGCACGGTAGACTCCAGTGCACTGCCAAATCATTTCATATTGGGTCGTGCTTTTGCAATATCAATAGATTCTATTTTGATGTTAAAATGGAGTCACTTTGAAATCAATCATTAATTTTATTTCTAGCAGAGACTTTTGAAAGGGGCCTGTTGGACCCCAGCAGCATAGTGATACCGTTAAAATAAACGATGTGCAAGGGTTAAGGATGCTGTTCTACATCCACAATGAATGAAATGGGATTTCTTTCTACACTGACTTTAAGGCTGCCCTGTAACTCTTCTTTTAGACTGCAACTCTGCTTTTAGACTGAAGGGGGTGTTTCAAAACCACAACTGGAGGTCATCCTGAGATGGTAAGGTAAAGGACCCCTTGATGGTTAAGTCCAGTTGAATTCAACTATGGGGAGCAGCACTCATCTCCGCTTTCAGGCCAAGGGAGCCAGCATCTGTCCGTAGACAGTTTTTTTCCAGGTCACGTGGCCAGTTTCTGGTGCACAGGACACCATGACGAGTGCCAGAGTGCACAGAAATGCCATTTACCTTCCCACTGCAATGGTATCTATTTATCTGCTCGTGCTGTTGTGCTTTCAAACTGCTAGGTGGCAGGAGCTGGGACAATAGCAACAGGAGATCACCCCATCGCACAGATTCCAACTACTGACCTTATGATCAGCAAGCCCAAGAGGCTCAGTGGTTTAGACCCTGTACCTGAGAGGATGACTAGCCAAGGGAAGAAAAGATAAGAAAGTGACACCTGTTAGAAGCAGGGGTTGGGAAACTCAGGTGCCGAGGCCAAATGTGGTCCTCCAGGCCTCCATCTTACCCCTCAGAACTCTCCACAAGCCACACCCCTCACTTGGCCCTCACTGGTCAAGTGCTTTAGCCCAGCTGTAATGTGCCCTTGAACTGGGGTAACTTTGAAACCACTTGGAAACGATAGGGATTAAATTGTATATAAATGCCTTAAATAAATACACTGGTACCTTGGATTACAGACACTTCAGGTTACAGATGCTTCAGGTTACAGACTCTAACCCAGAAATAGTATCTCGGGTTAAGAACTTTACCTCAGGATGAAAACAGAAATTAGGTGGCGGCAGCAGGAGGCCCCATTAGCTAAAGTGGTACCTCAGGTTAAGAACAGTTTCAGGTTAAGAACGGACCTCCGGAACAAATTAAGTTCTTAACCCGAGGTACCACTGTAAATGAAACAATGCCACTGGCTTGCCTAAATGGTGTGTGGGGTGGGGGGAAATGGGGTGGGAGTGTTTCTCAAGTCAGTAACCTACTCAGCTGTCCATGTCATCTCCCGCCATGGTTTTTCCAAAATGCTACTCAGCCCTAAGGAGAAAATAAAATTTGATATCAGGAAGAGGGCAAATCAACGGGTTTCAAAAAGTGAAATGACTTTTAAATGATTGTTTCAGCTCACCTTCAACTCGATATACTTCACATTCCAAAAGGACTTGGTCATTTCCATGTAGGTCTTCTGCACTGAGTGTGTAACTGTTAGTGTTAGCATCTGTGGTAACACTATTCTTGCTTTCTGACAGGAATACAAGTGTGTTAGCTCCAAAAGTCGGACCATATGCACTATTGTCAAGGACAGCCTCAACAGCATTCTTGACTGGGAATTTTAGTATGCTGGGTTCCTGCCCTTTCCCTTTCAATCTAAACATGAAAGCATTGTTATCAAATAGGTATTTCCCAGCTGAAGCATAACTCTGTTCAGTAAAGCCTCCAAAGATATAGCCACTTGCATTGTATCCCACAACTACAGTTGGGCCCTGACTGTCGCATTTGTTATGAAATGCATTGACATTGTAGGTATGCAAACTTGCTTTATAGAGAAGGCTTAGATGTTGGCATCCCAAAATATCCAGCAGCGCCTTTCTCTCAGTTTTGGTCAATCGAGATTGGGCCATCTTTAATCTGAAAGAAATGAGATATAGTAGGAATATAAATATTTCTGGAGTTGGGAACAGCCAAACCTAGGTGGCAGAAGGTCCCAAGTTCAATTTATAGCATCTCAAGACAGGTTTAGGTGATATCCCTGTCTGAAATTCAGAAACCCACTTCCAGGCCAATGTAGGGCAGGACTGGGGAACCTCTTGTCCAGACATGTTCCTCTAAGCCTCCCATGTTGCACATGAGACCATTTTCATAAAGCAATCCCTACCTGCCCCATATGACATCAGATGTGGAGCAGAAAAGGCAGCATTTTTGAGGAACAATTGGGAGCATACAGTTTTGATGGAGCAAGTCATGCTTCCACATACCCATCAACGGATGGGCAGCATGCTGGAATCATGGCTTTCAAACACATATGCCACATTTGGCTTTCAAACACAAATGCCACATTTCTCTTTCAAACCTCCACAGGGTAAATGTTAAGAAAACTTCAATCCTACAGCCCCACCCAAGACATGCTAGGAGCTGGAGAACAAGCTTTGACAATAAGAGCCTCATTTGATTCAATCTGCACAGATTTGTGCTGCTGGTCTGTGAACTGCAGCTGTGGTACTTAGGCCCCATTGAACACACCTGAGTAAGCATGGGGAGGCGGCTTGTTCTGTGCGTGCCTTCAGCTTGCTGTATTAAATAAGCATCAGGTTTCATGGTGATCGGCAAATATAAAGCAGCTTTCCCCCATCTAACGGTTTTAAAAACAGGAAGCACCACTAGATGGCGAAGAATAATATTTTTTCTTTTCACATGGGACAATGCCAGCCGAGTCTTTCTGACTCCACCCAAGAGATTAACACGGCGCTTGTAGATAAGGTTAGCAAATTTCGGTGCCCTCCCGAAAGCTTCCCTTTCACGGAAGGATCAGATTCAGAAAATCTCTCACAAACATACATGCAAAGCAATGAGCTGCTGAATCACAAAAAGCAGTATGGAGCAGCCAAGTCCCCATTCTATTTTAATAGCTGCATGTGGCAGGAAAATATCATCATGACATGATCTTACCAGCTTTGGGGAAATTTTTTTTCCTGTGTCCAGAGCTCTGTTTTACCTCAGATTAGAAGCCCGGGAGCAAACTAGCCTCCTCCCTCCGAGAAGCAGCTCGCGTCGGCAATTGGAAAACGAAAGTGGAAGTTCAGAGGTGCTCAGGGTCAGTAACACGTGTTCTCGGGTTTCCTGGAGTCCGTGACAAGGGGGAAATCCTCTTGGGGAGGAAGATAGAACTAGAAAAGAAATTTCATGCAAGATATCTGACAGTAAGACAGAATCCTACACAAAGCTGAAATGACTGTGAGCATATAGGGAGGGGTGTAGTGGGTCTCAGCTTGACCCTGAATGGCTCGTGTCCCTGAATCCGGGCTGCGGTGATCCTGCAAGGAGAAAGAGCAACTGGGTGTTTGGGCAGCAATGCAAGTGGGTGGGGATGAATGGCTGCTCTTGACTGATAGAGGGTCTGCTAATGCAGGGAAGAGTCTGCTTTCCCTTAGTCTGGGGGGGAAGAAGAGTGTTGGAGCAAAGCAGTCCTACAGATACCACATTCACATGAGAGGCAGAGAGAGGGAAAGGATCGCATCAGTTGTATCCAAAACTCCCCCTTTCTTACATGTGTGGGGCACTCCATCCTGGCAGCCTAGTCAGCGGTGGGCCTGTGTGTAGGGACAGGCAAATCTGTCAATTTCAGTTCCATGCAAATGCAGGTTAGAGTTGTTTTCAAATAAATAAATAGATGGAATTGATGTTGAAAAAACTATCGATAAAATTAGAGTATGGTCTGTTATGCTTCCTCCTCCACCCTGGAACAGTCAGAACTAAATCCAGTTTTAATTCACCAATTTGTAACTATGAATTAGAGCACTTCTTTTACAGCAGAAGTGGGGGGGGGTTTCATCTTATTAGAGAGTCCCCATGTTAATCTGTAAAACGTTGGGTGGTCTGTTTCATATGATTTTGGCCCTGCTGTCGCCCTTGCCCGCTGCTGATGTTAGCCCCTGAGATAATGCAGCCTTCAACAGAAAAAAGGTTGCCCACACCAGCTTCCACAGCTGCATGACAGACAGAAAACCAACAGGTGGAGCCCTCCACATTTCTGCAGCTTTACAGTTGGTGGTGACAGTCCAACCATACCAGGGTTAATGTTTTCCATTGGTCATTATTGGGATTCATGCATTTGAAATCAGCACAAGAATAGTATAGCCTAATTCTCTTTTCCTATAGCACTTGGGGAATAAGGGTAGTCAAATATTAGAACTTGACATCAGGGATGATGTGCAACCCTTTTAAAATGAACCACCACCTGATAAATAGCTGATAAATAGATAAAACAGGAAGTCCAAAGCAACGATTGTGTGAAATTCAACAGTATGTGTGTATTTTAGCTATAGTTCTGTATATATAGTTAAGTTTACAATAAAAGTTTAGGATATTTGAAGGCCAATGTATGCTACACCAATAAAGACTGTTATGTTGCATTTTGATGTTTTCTTGCTCTCTTACATTTTTTCTTGGGTACAGAACATCATGCATTTCTCAAATCTTCAGCTTTCATTTATTTGTTCAGATGTCTTTGTTTGGAGCTAAGCACTGAGCCATCTCTGCTTCCTCTCCTTATGAAGTTCTCAAGCTTATTCATTATTTTTGAGATTATATATATATATATATATATACTATAGGTGAGTCAAGGTAAAAGTCATACAAAGCTTCTCCCCACAAAATATAATAAGCAGAGACAGCATGTTCTTGTTCCGTGAACATATATCATCAGAACATTCAAGAATCATAGTCTCTAGTCCATGGATCAGTTAATCATACATCTTTTTCTGGGAGTTATTACTCCTATTACAAAGGAGGCATGCCGAAAGAACAAAAGAGCTATTCTTTGCAGGCTTGTGCAAAACAGTTGCACCATTGTTCAGGTGTACTTCAAGCATTGCGAGTTTGCTAGTTATTTTCTCAGCTCTGTGGCAGTAATCAAAACTGAACTTGCATTACCCATTGGAAAGAAATGGTAGGTGCACCAATTTATTCCTCTGTACCTTTTCTCCCTCCTCACATAATCTCTGCTCAATAAATAGTTGTTCTTATGGCAACTGAGTGTGCTCCAGATCACGTATTTCATCATGCATATAACGGGGCATCTACGCCACTCGGAAGTAACTAGGAGGAGAGGGAACGCCTGTAAATTTCTTTCAACTTATCAAGAGGCTTTACAACAAAGGGTTTCCTGAATTGTGGTGCCACCGCTAGGAAAGGGACTGGCTCACATGAAAGAGAATGAGAGGACACAGCTCCTCCCTCCACAGCTGATCCGAGTTCTGGTGTTGTTGGCCAATGCCCAGCAGGGTTGCTGGTGGTGGCGGCGGGAAGAGAAGGTGGGGGTCAAGAGCAAAAACCAACATGAGATCACACTGCACAATCACACGAGACCTACCTTTTCAAGTCCACTTTGGCGCAGACACAGTATTGTGGCAAGAGCCCTTGCTTGCAATCATTCAAAGCCATAATAACAGATTCAGTTGTACTTTGCCCCTGCAATGCAAGAGGAAGATACCTGGAATAAATTTCCCGTATCTTCTGAACAGGTGCCTGGTTATCTGCTTGCTGGGCTGCTAGTGCTTTTGAGGTCCTTAGCAAGTGTCCAATTTCATTTTTTCATTTTGCTATCTCTAAAATGGGAATAAGCTGTGGCTCTTCCTTAAGAGAAAATTTGCTTCAGAATCTGTTCTGTGCTTTGGGTAACAGGTTGCTTCAGTGCTGGCATCTCACTTTGGTTTATTTTCCAAAATTATGGAGGTCTCCACATTGACTATAACTGGGAAATCAACAAATGAATATGATTTTTAAAAATGATAATGCTGGCAAACTCAGATGAAATCTGCAGGAAGCCCCTCCTGAGGTGAGTGAGCTACTTTCAAGTCCTGAATTCAGCTGCCAAGTAACAGCTACAATATGCAGAAGCTGTGCCTTAGAACACAGACCAGCACAAGCTCACTCCAGGTGTGACGACAGAGCTCATAGAGTTGGGGTTGGCAGCAAAAATAAGTCTGCAGTGATTTCAGAGATGGAATGGAGGAACTATGCAGTTGAACCTATAAACAAAGGGACTAAGCTTGTGAACCTACCCATTTTCAATGGCATCCTTAACTCTGATATTGGACCTTGCTTCTCCAGTCACTATACACAATATTTTTATTTGACTGCATGCAACCTTTAATAACATTTTTTTTAAAAAAGTATTGCGTTCATTAGGTATGTGTGGATGAAAATCCCAACACACACACACCACTGCTGCCCCCAAAACGAGTTTTAACCAGGTCTTCTGCAGTGAAATTGGTAATGATTTCCAGCATGAGTTGTAAAAGCGGCAATTTAAAAAATGTATTCCATTATACATGGATTTGCAATGCCTTAATCCATTGATCTAATTTTCCTGATCATGGCATAGGTTAGAAGTGTACATACTGAGAATGAAATACTAGAATAAAAAGCAGTCATGCTGTTCAAGTCTATGGGTGTTTAAAAGCTAAAGGTAAAGGGTCTAGTCGTGGCTGACTCGGGGGTTGTGGCGCTCATTTTGCTTTATTGGCTGAAGGAGCTGGCGTACAGCTTCTGGGTCATGTGGCCTGCATGACTAAGCCGCTTCTGGCGAACCAGAGCAGTGCATGGCAACGCCGTTTACCTTCCCACCAGAGCAGTACCTATTTATCTACTTGCACTTTGACGTGCTTTTGAACTGCTAGGTTGGCAGGAGCAGGGACCGAGCAACGGGAGCTCACCTCATCGCGGGGATTCGAACCACCGACCTTCTGATCAGCAAGTCCTAGGCTCTGTGGTTTAACCCACAGCACCACCCGCGTCCCTCCTATGGGTGTTTACTTAGAAGTAAATGCACTAGCTTACTCCCTAGGAAAAATGCATAGCATTGCAACCTGCTCAGGTTGATAAAATATAAGCCACTCAACACCTCTCACTGAACTCATGGATCCATACAGAAATACCAAATCCTTAATCTGCAAATCAGCAGTGTCTGGCTTTTGGTAATACTTCCATTTGCCACGAGGTGGCCCTCTTAGTATAGTTTTGTACTTCAACACATACTTCCAACATGAATTCCAAGGTAGGTTGTATCGTACAGTATACAATGAAATCGATCTGCAATTCTATCCCCAACACATTTCATCTCCCATCTTCTTGCCACCCTTCCCTCTGTATTTTCTCCTTCACCAGGTTCTGGAACATGCTCATGTCAGATGCCTTGTGTAGATAATACCAATTAAATATCTAAGCAAAATTTCATTTCACAGGTGTATAAACGACATCTGTCCTCGTGTTTTCTAGAGATGTCATTATTCACCTGGATTTATTTTTATTTATTTATTTTAAGCATTGGACTCTAGCTTGTTGAAATGCCAAAAGATGTTGAATTACGGTACTTTCAGAAATGCTGAAATATTCCAAAAAAATGAAATGCTGAGAAAAACATGGTTGATACATTTATGGTTGCCTTATGATATACAGTGGTACCTCAGGTTAAGTACTTAATTCGTTCCGGAGGTCCGTTCTTAACCTGAAACTGTTCTTAACCTGAAGCACCACTTTAGCTAATAGGGCCTCCTGCTGCTGCTGCACTGCCGGAGCACGATTTCTGTTCTCATCCTGAAGCAAAGTTCTTAACCCGAGGTACTATTTCTGGATTAGCGGAGTCTGTAACCTGAAACGTATGTAACCCGAGGTACCACTGTATTCGGAATATCATTGTATAAAGTGAAACCATCAGGTTGCAGGCAACTATGCCATTTTATCTCATAATATTCAGATGATCAAATATTGTAATAAAGAAGAATAAAGCTGGACTGCTGGGAGGACAAAAAGCAATAACATTTGGGATTAAAGGCCTTTGAGCTGCACAAAACTGTTCATCTGATGGTGGTGCTCTTAAGCAAGGATTTTAGTTCTGTATTCTAATAAAAGGTAAAAGGTGGCCAGGTTGACAAAATTCCCAAATCCATACCTAGGGCAAAAAAAAAATTTAACCATCCGAAATGTCACAGAATACAAAAGCTTTCAAGTTCTCAAGCACTGACAGATCATTTTGCAATATTTTGCTAGACCTACTAAAGGTATTGTCCTAAAATGG